ATGGGGTGTGTTTTATATTGGACTTTTGCTGCCTATAATTTTGAGAAAAAGAGTCGGATCAAATTGAAATTCATAGGGAATATTTATTTGGTATGCTCCCACACGGCAATAGTCTCAAATTTATACTATACCCATTTCTCATATGCAGTGATCAAATATTTAAATTAATAAAATTGAAAGCTAATAACCTTGGATCAAATTAATGGTTGCTGACTAGAATAATTGGTTTTAACTGGATATATTAAGAATAATTCATATACATAAATCAAATAAAACAACATTAAATCAATTAAACCTATTATACAACATGCAACAAACATGACTAGATGACTATTAGAGCCTTGTTATTGGCACCATTAAATAGGGTGATCCTTAACTTTATCACTTTTCAAGTTGGATGTTATAGTTATTTATATTTACTATTATTTATGCTCCAACCAAATATTGGATTCAAATAAAATGATATAATATAAAAACTCACTAATTACAAATACTGTAGAGCTGCTGTTTTCTCACCTACTACTACTTACTACTACTCACTTAAGGATAATATTTTCTACCTGTGTTGTTTTGTACAGTGCTAGGTTTCGACTGTACTAGAGTTACCCTATTATCCATTGATTCTCATTGAAGCATTTATTTAAAGGTGATTTTATCATTTTCAGTTATAATAATTCTAACTGTTTTTTTATTTTATTTTTTGTATTTTTAAAATTATTGGAATTAGCTCAAAATTTGTATGGAACTTTAACCTTAAGACAAATTACTATTAACTGCTGTTTAGGAGTATTTAGACATTTTTTTTTTAAATATTTGTATATAATTTCATTTTATTTGAAATGACGGTAGTTTTTTTCTTCTTAACAATTTTAACTTTAAAGTCATTTATTTTAAAACGTTATAGACTGTGAGACCCTTGTACACACAAAAACGATATTTGAATTTTAAAATCGAGAAAAACACCCAACAAATTTACATATTTTTGAATTTCTAATAGTTCTTACAAACTTGTGATTTTCCCCTGCCCCTTCAATAAGCTTTGTTGACACTATGACCCCATCGCCTATCTACTGGCTTTTCTAGGTATTTTTTTGTTCTGAAACTTACTCAAATCGCATTTATCTGTGAAGAGAATACAATATTACATGACTATTCAAACATGTTTGTATGTTAACTTATTACCGAGATATGGCGCTTAAAAAAATAAGTCATTTTTTAAATTTCGCTAAAAAATGCAGAATTCCACTATTATATATAAATAAATATATATATCTCATATCGATAGCATAGTCCTACAGGTGTTTGTTTCTTTTTTCATTTGCAGGAAACATTTTGTATAATATTTATAACGCTATATCATCGGGTGTGTTATATATAATTGCAAGTCCTCTAACAGCGACAACATGAATCTTTGTGATCCAATATTCGCGCAAAAATAATTGTGATGGGGACTTTTATGTATTTTTTTTTTTGTACTTAACCTAATACCAAAAAAAAAAAGAAATGCGCTTATGCAGGGTGAGCATTTTATCGAGAACTACTCAATATATCATAGGAATAAATTATAAATTATTAATTGTTTTTATAAAATATGATCTCAATTTTTCATAATTTGAATTTTTTTACAGTACTCTTAACTTATTTTTTGATAGCCACTTTTCAAACATAAAACGTAACGCATACGATTTCATTACCTTTTTTAAATTGAGAATAGTGTACTAAAAGTTTTGACTGGTAACCAGTCCAAGATAACTAGTTTTGGATAACTATTTTTAATATTATAAGTTTTAAAGTTAGGATGGGAAAAATTGGAATCATATTGTATAAAAAAAAGTAAAAAAAATTAATTTCTTATCAACCCTATGAGTAATTGTGTGGTTCACGATAAACTGACCAACCTGTACATATCTGTGTACCGTGTCATCGATATATAGATTCCAAAACATAATTTTGAAGAAAACAAATAATAACCATGAACGATTTTTATTCATCTTGTAAAATTTTAATTAACAATAAATATTTTTTTTATTTCCGCATTTAGGTACCTTGAAGACATAACCAATTTATATCATCCTGAATATGAACCCTATATAAAAACTATTCAAGGGCTTTCTCAGACTATTCAATGTTTTTTAGGTGAAATACCGTTCTATTTTGTTTCTAGTAAGTGATAATTTGTTTGTTTAGGCATGGAATAAAAATTGCGAATAACATAAATGTTATCTTGTATTTATAAGGTTATATAATAAAAATGGTGGGTCATATGAACGTGTTTTCATTGACGTTTATGGGTTATGCAATCAGATTTATTCTTTATTCGATTATTGAAAATCCGGTGGTTGCTTTGAGCGTTGAAATACTTCATGGAATCACTTTTGCACTACCGTACTCTGCCGGAGTCGCGTATGCCGCTAAACTGGCTCCAGTTGGTGCAGAAGGGACGATGCAAGGATTGGTTGGAATGGCAATGAAGGGCATAGGTTTGCAATAGTTGAAGTTTATATTTATCTACATTGGTGCTTTGTTGATTTGTGTACAATAATATTGGTTTAATTTACAGACATTTTGTATTCTTTTAGGTATTCCGATGGGAAATTTTGTTGGAGGTTATGTGATTAAGAATTTAGGAATCATAGATGCTTTTAGAATATTCGGTATAGGTTCGCTTATGGTTTGTATCGTTATATCAATAACGAATCTTATTGTAAACCGGATGTACAAAACCGAAAATAATGTTGTCCAGACTAGTTAAAATCATTCGATAAGGACCTATTGTTGTATGGTCATAATTAAATCACAATGAATAAACTGATAATGTATTTTTGTTTTGTAAATATTGTAAAATATAAGTATTCCTCAAAGGCAATGTTCTTATACATCATACTTAATAATGTAACTGTACTAACAACAATGTGGTCGATAAAAATCTAACTTAATGTTTAAAAACGTTTAATTTTAAGTGTTTAGAACTGAGAATTAGACCGCAAAACATCAAATCTAACTCAAATTTACATTAAAAATAAGAGTAATATACAGCGTGACCACGAAAACACTTAACATTTTCAACAAGGCAAAATAATATAAATTTTTGAAAAAAACAATTTTTTAACTTATGTAATATGTTTGTGGATGTATGCCATTTTTTTTACTGCAATTTTCGAAGAAAAAAAAATTATTATTTAACTTGATATTATGTAATAGAATGTTTGCAGGTGTTAGCCATTTTCTTCAAGTAGCAAACATGAGGTCAGGAATGTGAAGGAAGGTGATATTCATGAGTATTCCATGAGGCAATTTTCAATTATTTCGAGGAAGTTCTTCCTCACTCGTTCTAGTGTCTCCCTCGTGATTAGTGCCACCTCTGTACGAATTGCCACTTTCAAATCATCCAAAGTAGGGGACCGTAAAATAAATGGTGTACACTTGTGAATCATAATTTTACATAATAACAAGTTAAATAAAATGTTTTTTTTCTCGAAAATTGTCGTAAAATAAATGGCATACACCCATAAACATGTCACATAAGTTTTAAAAAAATTTGTTCGAGAAATTAGTATTATTTTAATTTTTTGAAAAAATAATGTGTTTTCGTGGTCACCCTGTATATTATAAAGTGACTTTCAAGTGAAAAAACTACTCTTATAAGCATTTCACTAATAGTGCTAATAAAAAATGTTTTTATGAGTTTATGTTTAATATGACTCGACATAAAATTATGAGTTTAATTAACCGTAGTATTATTATATACTTCTTCGAAGATTGCAAGTTGAAAGAAACATTTTCAATAGTACATCTTCAACTTAAACAAAATATATTTAAGAATTATTAATGTACACCTTTTAATTCCTATAACATACCTAAATCTAAAACCATATTACTATTATTATTTTTTTTTTTTGGTTTATACACCAATTATGTCTCCAAAATGAAGACACACTGGTGAAAAATATAAACTAATAACTTAATCAGCTCAAATTATTATAGTTTTATGAAATATATTATGTCAAAGAAATATTGTGGGTCTATATTTAAAACATAAATTAGTTTTCAACAAATGTAGGGACGGGGAGTAACTTTGTAGATAGAGTGAAGAAAGGGTATGCAAGAACATTTAGATGAAGGGTGGTGAGAATATTGTAATGGAGGGAGCGGAGAAAAATGAACATCACCATAAACCTGAACACTAGCCGGTGGTGGTGAAGACCTAAAAACTTATCAATCTATTGACATGAATGATATGTCTCATGGTTGGGGGTTTGTCGAAAATTAGCGTCACGCTTATGGTAGGATTAGTTTAGATTTGTATAACACAAGTACGGTTTGGTTACATTAAGGTTAAGCCTTACCTGAACTTGAGACATCATGAGTTCGATGGCGAAGAGAATAGTAGGGACAGAAATGGTAAACGAGAGAAAGGAACAAGGAAATTGAGAGGAGGAGAAGAATGATGAGAAGATGGAAAGGAAAAGAGAAGAAAGAGGAGAGGATGAAAGTAACCGTGAACATGAACACATATTTGAAGCGAATAGAGTTGTTTATCTGTTTTATATAAACTTAATATAAGTTGATAAAGCTAAGAAAAATACTAAGTAAGTAATTTTTTAGTCATATTATAATTTATTGTTAAAATACTTTCCAGTGCACCCTCTCCGTTTTATACTTGAAAAATTAATAATAACTGTTTTATATAAATTCAAATTCGATAAAAATTCTATGATTATTCATTATCAATCTATAGTTTCATCAGTACGGTATGTCGAGTAAGTTAGCCGGTCGCGGTTTTTCATCGTTTTCCACTATCCAACAGTCGCCGGTTTCACCGTGTTTTAGTATTTCGATTAACCCTTTTGCTACACTTTCGGGTCTGAAAAAATTACGTTTTGTAAATTTTATAATCAAATACAAAGTTATAACTGCATAATATATTTTTAGCTGGCATGCATTATAGTCGTGGCCAAATTGATGTGTGGTTGGTGATTCCCCCCAACGTGAGGCGATACGACACAAAGGAGCAACAACTGTTGGCGATATATACAGGGTGTAAAGTAAAGTTTTACCGAACATCAAATGAGACATTCAGGATGCTCTATGAGCACAATAAATTATATTCATTGTTTTTTTATTTAAAAATTATAAAAAAATAGAACTCGTATCTCATAAAAAAATTGTCTTACGAAAAAAATAATTTCACATTTGAGATCAAGCAAAAAAACTTGTTGAATTGAAATGTAACATGAATTTTTGGTATCTGGCCTCACTTGCGTCCACCGAGTGGCCACTGATTGGCCGGCATGTGACCAAAACCAACATATGGCATGTGACACATCATTTTGGGTAAGAATTATTTTATCAATTCAATTGTGGCCTTAGAATTATTTCATATTAAAACATGCCGGCATTTTAGTGGCCACCTTGTGGACGCACGTGTAGCCGGATACCAAAAAATCATATTACATATCAATTCAAAAAATTTTAATTTCCCGATTTCAAATCTGAAATTAATTTTTTTCGTAAGAAAATTATTTAATGAGGTACAAGTTCTATTTTAAATAATTTTTTAAAATATGTAAAAAAGAAATACGGCTCCTAATTGGCCGCCAGAAAAATAACGTGAAGTCACCAACCGCACCTTCATTTGGCCACGACTACAGCTGTGATACAATGAGGTTTTTTACTGTATGAACGAATAACTCAAGATTAACTACAATTCAACCCTCTCCTTTAAAAATCGAAAACACATCCAAAACATTAACAAATTTTTAATTTAAAATTACGACACGCTATAACTTTTTAGAAGTTAGACTCTACAGAAGTTACTCTGCTGTCTGTTTTCGTACGTCCAGTTCGTGATGATTAAAGATGCTGATAAAAGACAGCTGACAAAAAATACGAATTTACGAGACAATATGTGATCAATGGAAGGAAGGTGCGAAGATCGTAGTTAAGGGTGGTGCAGAGGATGAAAGAAAATGACCATGACCACAAAATACTAGCCGATGGTTTTAATGGCCAGCATGTCGTCAGTATACATAATATTTTCATATTTAAAATTCACATGCATAATATTTCCCAAGTTCGATGATTGAAAACTAAAACCAAGCAGTTGATCGCGGAAAAGGTGAACTACATGGAAATGGATTTCAAGAGACTCGTTATCTTTAAACAAAACTAAAAACCCCGCGGAGCTAATAACACTTAAGATCCACTTGACGGATTTTTTTAAATAAAAACGAAATTCTAATTGCATAACAGTTTATACATTTGCACCGGTAACGTGGCCACCATTTCGTTTGCTTTTTTACCGTACTCTTTGATCAAGTACACACTGGACCTGTCGCCTTCGATCATTGGCGTCCTTACGTATCCCGGACACAGCGCCATAATTCTGACGTTTAAATGTTCGAATGATTTCTTGTCCTTTAACATAAAACTCACTTAAAGCGTACAAATGTCAACATAAAATAATGTGTTTGCAAAACAAAATAATATATTACGCCGATCGCTCTGGTGAATTCTACGATGGCCCGTTTTGTAGATCTGTATATTGGACATATAAACAAATTTCCCATAAAAGCAGCTATGGACGCAGTCTGCACAACAGTTCCTCCGTTGCCATCGTACGGCCTGCCCATATACTTAATCGCCAACATGGTGCCCCTGACGACACCTCCCTAAGAAAAAAAAATTCTGAAGGACCTTCTGAAGTCTGTTTATAAAAGTTTCGTGACGCCTTTGATCGCATGACGTAACACAATGAAAGTGGATAGGAGATGGGATAGTAATAAGGTGAAATCGATAACTCATGGATGACTGATAAGAGAATATTGATAAAAGAATCAGCTGGCAAAGAGTAATAGTATAGAGGAGTCGTTTCGTTTCCTACATCGCCTGCATACCACATTGGTTCGACAACGGACAAGTGACCCATCTTTACATTTTGACTACAAATAAAGAGAAAAAAAAAATAAATGTATAAAAATATATATTTAGGCAAGCTGCATGATTACAGATCATGAACACGATTTGAGATAATATCACAAAACAACCAGCAGAGAAACTTTTTAAGAATTACATATGTTCTTATGGGAGATTATTTTTGTCACACCTACGGGCTAATCAGTGTAGACGGTATAAAGATAAGTATTATTTTTCTCTCAGTTCTGGTGACACTTTTCATTTCTTTACCCAAAATTTGTGAAATCAGTTTCGGTGGCAAGGATAAATTTCAATTAAGGACGATTTCTGACTACAATACATTTTTCCAGAATTTTAGTAACGAAATTTATGATCTTAATAGCTGTTTTTCTTCTGGGTAATAGTCATTCTGTTCTAAAACAATTATTGTTTACCAATAACCGTATCAGAAATGTGTTTCTTCTAAAGTAGCTGCACTGCAAGAAGCAGTCACTTGGCGCTCCTCTATATTACTCTGGAAGATGAGGCGGGCATGGTATAGGCATAAGTGGAAATTCGGATAACTGATAAGATATATTGGACTAGAGAATCAGCTGATAAGGGACAGAACATTTGCTGACCAAAAGACATGCCCACGATTTAATGTCTGCCGTATAAAGGTTAAGATTGAAACGATTTTTTCAAATATTAAATATAAGTTAAACAAATCATTGGCTTTCAAGCTACCTACATAGTTAACGTTAATTGTGGACTCCCACTTTTCCATCGTTTCGTTATATATTCCCGCATTGTTGACGACTATGTCCAATCTCTTAAAGTGGTCTATACACGACTTGAATGCATCTAAAAAATAAATACACAACATCATACCTTTATGTCGTTTTAGCTAGGTGGACAGAAATAACCTATGCTTAGCTTCGCACCAAAGAGCTGGTATACGATGGACAGAGTTAGATATTTTTTATTCGAGTTCAAAGATGACTTGAAAAATCTGTCATTTTAGTGATTTCAAAAAGTTAATTTTTTAATCATGATTATTTTAATCTAATAGTAAGCAAAACAACAAATTAGTCATATATTACTAATTTCACTATTGCGTAGAAATAAAATTAGTGGTGATTAAAATATTAACTTTTTTTTACAAATAAGTAAAGTAAGTATGTACTTACAGTACATACGAAGAAAGTTATTCGTGACTTAAGAAATAACTTTAGTAAAATTTAATAATATAATTTATTATTTAATTTAATTTAAAAAAAAAACGCATATTTTATAATAGTTATTTAGCGTTTGCCTTATTTTTCAATAAATATTAGCGTTTAAACTAAAAACTGTGTAGAATAAATTATTACAATCTAAGTTATAATTATTACTTTCAAATATCACATCGTTAGTGACGTCACAATGTAACGCTAAGACTTTATCGTGGCCGAAGATCTGTGCAAATTCATTGGAAACGGATTGGCATTGCTTGATGTTTATGTCACAAAGCGCTACCTAAAAAAAGAGATTTTGTTATGAAGGTTGAAATTGTGTTGTTAATTAAAATCGAATTGCCTAAAATATTTCAAGGCATCGTTTAGGTTATGGAACCACTCTAAATGTACATTCAGTCTAATTTTAAGTCTATCAGTGAGGCTTAGAAATACACATACAAAAAGCTACAAAAGGAACAAGTTTCCATCCATTTACATATAAAAATATTACTAAAGAATATTTCATATGAACTATGAGATAATTCGACTAAGCTCAAATTGTTTTTTCTTGAAAATAATTTCAAAAAGGGGTTTCCTTCTTTTTTTTAAAAAAATCAATTGTTTTGTTAGTTTTTAGCCTGAATAGTATATTAAAAAGTCCGTAGTAGAAATGGGTAAACTTTTCAGATTTTATTTCTACCACTTCATCTAAAGAAAATCAATTATCACTCAAGAAGTTTATGGGTTATATTTGTCAACAACATAAATTTCTCATTTTATGGGCGTGATAAATTTATTATATCCCTACCATCAGAAGTATATTTTTATTAATTTTATAATATATATGAATAAATATACATACCTTAACATTATTTTGAAGTAAGTACTTGGTGTAAGCATAACCGATTCCAGACGCTGCACCAGTAACTAAAGCCACTTGATTTATAAATTCCATGGTAGGTTCGATTTAGTTATTTGTAATTAGTTCCGGTTATAATTATTATAACACACAGAATTTGTTTACCACTGACGTTACTGCAACAGGTGAGTAGAGAAATATATATGACTAGGATATCAAAAATTATTATATAAATGTATTTTATTCAAACATTTGCATAGTTCGAAGAATATAATATCATTAGAAAATAATTTTGTGTACTTACGATTTTACTCTACAAAGGACAAGTCCGTTCTGATGTGTTTCTGCAATACTACTAAAATAGTTTCAGAAAAATGTTCTACTTGTAAGGTTCCTTACTTGCTACTTGTAAACAATAACCATATAGCATTTATTCCTCGGGAATTAGAATAAAATTTTAATATACTGTATTGTTAATTATTATGTTTGTGTGTGAACGATTATAATATATTTATATAAATATTTATTCATCATTATAATATGTGTAGGAATATTTTTCACGGTATAATCTTGTGTTATTTACATTGGGAATAAAAATTGTATTATTGTATGATTTTACAAACAGTGCATAATTAATATCTCATATTAAATTTCAACGTATGTCACTATGGTAAACAATTAATAATTGAGTTTTATAAAAATATTAGCTATTGTTACAATCATAAATTGTTCCTAAAGGATACGGTGTCTATCACTGGAAATAAATAAATATTTAATTCGAGGCGTGTTGTTATGTTGCCAAATGCGGGTTCTCGTTGACCTTTTCCTATATATCTCAAAATGTCTCGAGCCTAAGTGTTTAATATCCAATTTGACACTGGGCACTAGTGTACTAAAGTGTAAATAAAAAACTTTCCATCTGGCATCTGGGTATACAACAAGAAGTCCGTAGAATGGGGGTTAATTTTTTATAAAAAAAAAAAAGCAATTTATGTTGTGGACAAATATAAAAAAAATTGTTTTTAATTTTGTCTTATTTTTAGATTGATGAAAATTGTAAATTCCCTCAAAGTTAGGGCATCGATGGAACAATTGTTGACGCTAATTTTTTCACGTTGTAACTTAACGATCAAAGTGTCTGTTGTTTCTGCTCTAATCTCTATAGACGTTGAAAACTATCATCCGACTTGGTGCACACTGATCGGTATCTTAGAGCGTTTTTCGTAGGGTTTTTATAACGTTTTTATGAACTCACAATCTTGTTTTTATAAAATAAATACCGAGTGAGTTAATAATATAATTTATACTTGATTCAGCATGATTTTAATACTGATCTAGCAGCAAACGTAGTGGGGACTAAGTAACTTGTTATTATATGAAAAGGGTTAAGTTTGTTTAATTAAATATATTTTTGTTGGTTGAACAATTGTTATTAACAAATTTTTAAAATTATAACGCATCAGAATTAAAAAAACACTATTTTTTTTTTTCAGGTAAACGGTTTTTTTTCTCATACGAATTACCTACCTTTTGAACAAAACCCCTTCATAAATGATTTTCTATAATTATTTTGAAATAATTAATTATTCATACATAGTTTGATTTATCTATTATAAACTATTATTTTTAGTGAATACTAGAAAATAATGTACTAATAATATATGTAAAACTGAATGTTTTGACTTTGTTTACTAGTTCAAAATACCCAAATATTAAATACTAAAAATGATCATTTTTCAATTATCATTTTAATATCACACAAAAATCGGGCATGACCTTAGCTTGGCCAATGCTGAATAATTTTTGAATTATCATTTAAATATCATAATTTTTTTAGTTTTTACAACGTGGTAATTATGTGATATTCTTCAAAAAGTAAGGCATGACCTTAGCTGGGCCAATGTCGAAATCATTTTTTAATTATCATTTTAATATCATACAAAAATCGGACATGACCTTAGCTTAGCCAATGCCGACATAATTTTTTAATTATCATTTTAATATCACAAGTTTTTCAGTTTTTACAACGTGGTAGTTATGTGATATTCTTCAAAAAATTAGGAATGACCTTAACTTGACCGATGTCGAAATAATTTTAGAATTATCATTTCAGAAATTACTTAATTACCATTGTTGTTTAGCCAAAAGGACTAAGAGTTTAAGAGTTTTGAATATTATAATTATAATAATTATTATTACCATTATTCAGTCTTGAATTTTATTTATTTAGTTATTTTTAGTGACAAACAAAATTGTCAAAACTGCACTCCGTGTAATAAACTTTTTTTGGATTTAATAGCTTTTGTCAAAATCGGAAAAACCCTAGAGTTTATTCCTTTAATTATATCTGATAAACTAATCCACTAGTGAATCAATTTTTTTTATGACATACATGTGAGACAAGTATTTTTAATGCAGGCTGCAGGTTATATTATCAGTAATTATATGTCATATTATTGAAATATCATCATTCACTTTATGTAATATACCATAAGCTATTGAGAATTTCAGTTGAAAACACGACATGTTAATTTACCAATTTTTTTCCTTTATATTTTTAAAAAAGTAGTGAAAAATTAAACATGCTATGTGGCAAAAAAATCAACATGGATTTACTTTTTATGAAAATAAACTATTTCTTCGAATGGGGCGGTAAGATGTATAAACTATAACTAGCATTTATTTTTACACTCCAATATGAATACCCACAGAAAAAGCTAATAACAATATATCATGCAAAAATAATAATCATGTGTAGTACACATTTTTTAATAATATGCAACAATAATACGGTAGCATACTGGTTTATCGTTTTTTAATCCTAACTGGCTTAGGGGCTTTTTGTGTTGTGGTATTTATTGGTACAGTTTGTGTGAAAGAATCGTAGTTTGTTTGATCAACAATAGGCGTATCTGAATAGTTAGGAGATAGCCCATTTTATTTTTGACTGTGAGGCTATATCAGATCATTGTGTCTTATTCATAAATTAAACAAAAAAATTAAAATAGTTACGTGCAATATGCTTGTAAAGCAAGCATTTATTTTTACACTACCAACAAAAAAAGCTAATAACAATAATATATCATGCAAAAATAATAATTATGTGTAGTACACATTTTTTAATAATATGCAAGAATAATACAGTAGCATACTTATTTATCGTTTTTTAATACTAACGGGCCAAGGGGCTTTTTGTGTTGTGGTATTTACTGGTACAGTTTGTTTGAAAGGAATCGTAGGTTGTTTGATCAACACTAGGCGTATCTGAAAAGCAGGAGATAACCCATTTTCTTTTTGACTGTGCGGCCATATCAGATCCAAACGGTGATTCGAAGTACATTTACTTTTTTTTCTATTTTCTCTTTAAGAGCAGAAATAAAATTACTTTCCAAAGCGAATCACTAGTTGTAATTTTCAAACCAAGTCTACACAAAGCACAGTATAAACCAGCAGAGTAAGAACATATTACAGTGAGGTGCAGTGTTCAATAATTAGCATCAATGCGTTTATTTGAAAGTGATTTTATCGCTCTTATTTATAATAACTCCTGTAGAATTGTGACGTCTCCAGTTCCCATAGCTTTTCCTCGAGCTCGCTGATTTCGTGTACCAGCTTCGCTTCTCCGATTTCCAAATCTCCAGTGGTTTCAGTTGCCGGTTTCCTGTCGTGTGATCCATAATGTCCACCCCCCCTCCCTCCTCCGAATCTGTGGGGGCATTGGTCAGGGATTGTATTTTCAATTGTTTTTGAGCCATCCTTGATTGTGTGGACAATTGTAACCCCGGTTTTTACCTGCTGGCAGGTTGGCAAGGATTTGCTAAGTGCTAGCATGCTCCCTCCAGCCTTATCGGTCCACGTAGGGACCACGTTATCACTCTTAAGCGCTCTCTTTTATGCTATCAGAGTCTCTAGTTCTTGTTCTTTATCCTGTGGATTGTCACTGTTGTTATGAAAGAGCCAATCGCATGTTGTAATAGCGACTTGGTGGGCCTTACTCGGCAGTCCTTTGTTCCGATCTACACCCACGGCCGGAACAGACGTATTTTAGATTTTTAACTTCTGGGACCCTGGTATCTGAAAACCGCTTTTTCGGATTTCAAAACCCCCCCGTGGGCAGGCTTTTGGTCCGAATCAAATTCGCTTGCGTGGACACGTCTATTTCGGTGGTGCGCCACCTAGCGGAGTTTTTGAGCGTAAGGCGTAACTGCAACATGTGGCGGTGGTCGCACACGGAGTGGTGCGAAAGCACAACTTTCGTGCCCGCGAAAACTTTTTACTTAACTTACTATGTATATATCTGATTTTTTTAACTGGCGTTTTTACCAATAATGTAGTTTATAATTATGAGATTAAACCTAATAATTATTATTTTTAACACTTTTATTGCAATGGTCGAGAGTCCCTGTTGTAATACTATACATTAATATAGTATCAGTGTGCGAGTAGTAATGATAATCAAGTATTTAACACAAATAAAGTTATTACAATAATAGATATATTATACATAGAATATATACAACACAGTGAAACAATAATACACTAGTAATATGTATAAACTGAATAGAAATACTGAGCCCCGAGCCCTTAGATCAAATGCTATTTATATTAACCCACAAGGTTGCACGCGTCTACACATACACGTGTGCTTACAAAAACAACTTTGTTTTTCTATAACATTTCCTGGTTAACAACTACGTATTTTTATTATACAGATAAACAACATATTTATATATTGTGAAATACTTCCTGATATATAGAATATTAATTATTATTCCAACAGTCCCCGTTTTCACATCAAGGTTTTATACTTCACAGGAAAATATATATAGGCGATTATCATTTTTTGAGGAATATTTCTACACATGAATCTACTATTCAGTACAAATATTCGATAAGTAAACATGATTTTTGCAATCAACCTACGACTTATCACACGACCTAGCACACAAGTTGTCTTACGTAAATAAAACACCTGCCGTGCAAAATATCTTTAACGCTGGCACACGACGACCAACATTTTATTAGATGTGCGACACGTAGAGGCGACATTGTCGACTTGTAACTTTTTTTCTGTTATACACGTATACCTAAAAAAAAACCGGTAAATTCGTTTATTAATGCGCATTTAAAATGAAGTTTTTATTAGATATATCGAGCATAGTAAGCTTCTCGTATGTGTTGGGTTGTATTGTGTTATGTTGTGATGCAAACCTCGTGACCACGATGCACGAGCTGTTGTCGTATTCCGGATGGCTCGAGATGGCCCAAAGAGACTACCCTATCTTTATTATAGATCGACGACAGACGAACGAAACTGAACACGAATTGTCGATGAACGAATTCCTGGCGGAAACGGTGACCATCCAAAACGTGTTCGACAAAATCCAACTAGCTCATCAGTTCTTGAGCTGTTC